TACAAAATCCAAAAAGCAAACAAGTGCTCATCTGACAGCCTCTACCTTCCTTTCATAGGTTTCTCTGCAGCCTTTCATCTTCCATATATATATATATATATATATATATATATATATATATATTTGATAGACCATTATTTTATTTATTTATTTATATGTGGTGCTGAGAATCAAATGCAGTGCCTTACACATGCCAGGCAAGTGTACTACTGCTGAGACCCAGCCCCAGACCCTGCCACCTTTCTTATTGCAAACCTGATAATATCACTGCCCTGCTCATGAAATTTCCATAACTCATCACCTGTAATCCAAGCTCAACTGAATTCAAGGCCCTCTACACTCTAACCCCACCCTACTTGGTCTCTGGCCATTCTCTCTGCCCTGAAGTTCAAGCTGAATTGGCTATTAGCCATTTCCCAGACCCTCTGATCCCACCATTTCCTCCAGGATTTTGATGTGGAAAGCCCTTACCTTTTCCTCCTCGTTCTTTAGGACCAGCTCCCAGGTCACTTTCCCAGGGAAGCCCTTCCTGTCCTCTGCAGCAGCAGTAGCAGCAGCAGATTCTTCTCTGTCCACCTCTGTGCTTTGGACATGTCTCAAGTCTAGCTCCTGTCCTAAAATAGGAGGTGAATTGTCAAGTACACAGATGGAGCTATCTTGCCTTAGATTGAAGGTTAGCTCCATCACTTACTAGTATTGGTAATATAGGTAAGTCTTTTCAACTCCCTGTGGCTCAATTTCCTCATCTGCAAATTAGGGGACATAATAGTACTTTTCTCATTGCTCTATGTTCAAAAATCTCAAAATGCATCCACAATTCATTGTTCATAGTAAGTGCCACATGAGTGTTAGCCATAATTCTTATTTCCTATGTGCATGTTTCTTTTCCCAATTTGATCATGAAATCCTAGAAAGCAGGGCTGTCTTCCTTGTCTCTGCCTCCCCAGTGTCCAGCTCATTGTAAATGCTTGGTACATATTTGTTCAATGAAAAAAAATTATTTTTGATCATTCTACTGGTTGATCATTTGCTCATTGGGTTAGTTGGTAAGCCAGCAGAATCATTTGCATTGAGCTTGTATTTCCCAGGTGGGTCAGCAGCAGGTCCCAGTCTAGATAGTCTTACAAACACTGTGGATATGTGGGGGATTTGGTTAGGGTTTTGGGTTCCTCTCAGTCTGCTTTTCTTATCACTAGGCCCTGTTCTCTACTTTTCAGATGCCTGTGAATATGTAGGGTTTCTTGTTCTACCTTATTCAAAAGGGCTTTGTAATTCAATACCTTTGTTCTTGGGCTGCAAACATGTCCTTTTTCCATTGTGAAAGTTTGGTTTCTGTGGCATTCAGAACAGGAGAATGTGCCAGGACTTTGGGATGTTGCTGCAGATGAATAGAAGAGGAAGAAAGGGAAGCTTCAGAGATGTTGAGAGTGTAGAGGGTGCAAAATATCAGGAAGCCTGACATGGCTTGGGCTCACCTATTTTGTGCTTCTGTCCAGCAAGTGATTCAATTCCTAATTGTTTCTGCTAAAAATCTAATAGCAGTCTTGGCTGCTTAGGACTTGCTAGAGAGAGGGTCCCATCAAAAGCTCCTCAGCTAAAGACACAAGAATTAACAGAAAGCAACAGAGACAATTCAGAAAGCAGATGCCTAGAGGATATGAAATAGAATTCTAGAAACTGAGATGAGAAGAGGTATAATTCAATAACTGATTTCAAGAAAAACTGGACATTTATACAGGTATCTGGAATTTTCTATATACCTGTGCATCAGCAGAGATATTTAGGGCAGCTCTCAGGCATATGTAGCTATTCCAATAGAGGGTAAGGGAGAGCAGCTAAGTTAGTTTTGTCACATCTCCTATTCTCTGGAGCCCAAATAGTGGCAACCCTCTACCACCAATGCTCAGGGAGGTCCTGGAGAGAACCGGAGCACGCTGAGAGGGACCACAATGACCTTCCCCACCAGAGCCCTGTCCCTGCTCCTCTCACTCTGCCCTCTTTCCTACTCTATAATCTATAGACTCTGAGGACTTCTTCTTCCTCCTCCTCCTCTTCTTCTTCTTCTTCTTCTTCTTCTTCTTCTTCTTCTTCTTCTTCTTCTTCTTCTTCTTCTTCCTCCAGGGATGACTGAACCCAGGGGTACTTAACCACTGATATCGTTTCCTCTCCATTCTAGAGCTACTTTCCATTGATTTATTTTCCATACTTTTCTTACCAGTTTCTTTCCTCTCCTTTTCCACTTCCTGGGGCTCCTTACTCTCTTCTTTCCTGCAATCCTTGTGAACTTTGCTACCACTGGGTCCTACCAGACCCAGTGTTGGCCTGGTAGGGAGTGGCTGAGGCATAAGCCAGAGCTTGGCTTTTGCCCACAATCCTTGGTGGCAGCCATTGTTGGGAAACTGCCCTCACTGGGACAATCCCAGGGCTTTGGTTGCTTCAGCTGGAAAAGTTCTTGGAGACCCTGGTCCATCCTAGAAGATTGGTTGGCAAGGACCTTAGTTTCTGTTTTGCTCAGTGATAGGCCAGTTGCAGTTTTGCTCTGTAATATAATTTCTTCACTCATTCAACACTTACTGAGCACTTACCATGTGCCAATGAATATGTTCCAGGTATCAAGCAGGTATCAAGCAGGCAGAGATGTAAATAAGTTCATACGTGGCTCCCAAGATGGTAAGCAGTCTGCTACTTTTGCAATGGATTACAGTGAAAAGTATTATTTATATTAACAATATGAAAGACATCAGTAGATGGAAGAAAAATGGATCCATGGACCGCTCTTTCTCTCAAAGGTTGACTCCATCTTGGGTAGTCATTGGGTGGCTACCATAATATAAATAAACATTGCTGATGGCAGGTTATTTTGACTTTATTCAACAAATAGCCCATTTCTATTTATCCCAGGGCAAAACAACAAAGCAACACTAATCATTAGTTTCTTTCCACTGAGATGACCATGCAGATGTCTCTATTCCTGGTGGTTTTCAACAGCCATATGTTGACCACTATTTATTGAAAGGAAGACCCAGGTTTCAGTCTTATAAAACTAGCAAGTGTAGAAGGCTGTGTTGAATGAGGATGGAAAGAAACTTCTCATGAACCTTTCTTGGAAAAGGTAGGTAGATGGGAGGATGAAGGAAGGAGTCAAAAAGCAATAGATTTGGAGTTAGAGGAGTAGATGTCTAGTCTCAGCTATGCACCAAGTGACCTAATGTGTCTGGCTTTAGTTTCCTCATCTGAAAATGGGAATGATAACAATATCCATCTGATGGGGTCACTAGGAGAACTAGATGAGAAAGTAAGTAAGTATAAAGCACTTAGAACACAGGCACATCTATGGTGAGGATAATAAAGAGCAGGCTGTGTGGCTTCAGGAAAATCACTTAAACACACTGGCCACAGCTTCCTTATCTGAAAAACAAATGAGTTTTGCAGGATCATGTGAAATTCTGTTCAGTAACATTCTTTGAGCGTCTTCCCTGTTGGTGCCATACTGGGCATTCAGAGAGGGTTGAGCCTGTCCCCTCTCTCCAGAAGGATAGGAAGGAAACATACAAATAGATGACTCTAACAGAGAACATGGTCCCAAAGAGTTGCTGGGTTCAGGAGTGTGAGTGTTCAAGGGCACGAGGTCCTGGAGAGCTTGGTGGGAGGCAGAGTTTGACCTGGGCTTTGAAGGATGGGTGGAGATATCATGTCTTCTTTGATTTTGAGAGTGCTTTGCCTTTTGAATAAGTCTGTATGACTTTGGACTGGAGGACTCAGGGATCTGAATCAGACTATGCAGGGCTATACTAGGCATCCTGGTACTTGTTTTGGAAAGAGGATATAAAAAAGTTCTAGTGTTCTCCATATCTTTATCCTTTCCAAACTGAGCTCATCATGACCTGGCCTCAGATCCCTTTTAGCTGCATCTCTACCATTTATCCCTTTCATTGTGATATTTACAGTTTTTAAATTATACTTTCCCTTTCCTCCATTCTATCTTGAAAATGCTCCTTCTTTTGTCCTGGAGCTGGCCCCTTTCACGTTAGGGGGCAACATGCACAAGCAAGACACTAGGGTCAGATTGACAGGATTCATACCCTAGCTTTGCCCTTCAGCAGACAGTGGGGCCCCTGTTAAGTTACTCAATCCATTGGTTAGTCAATGTCCTCATCTGCAAAATGAAGATACAGGATAAAAGTGGTGCCTAACGCAAAGGATGGTTGTAAGAATTAACTGACGTAATGCAAAGTACTTGTCAGCTGGTTGCACAGTAATCATTGAATAAATATGAGCAGTTGTGATGGACACTATGTCTGGCTTACTCCTACTTGCTTTCTAGCTTAGTCACTTCCTCTGGGAAGCTTTTCCAGGCTCCAGGTTGTGTACTCTCATAGTTCCGTGTGTACCCTCTTCTACCTTAGCACCCACACCTGTCATCTCTTTATCTTTCCGGGGACCCCACCAGATTGCAAACTCCACGAGGTCAGTCGATTGTGCTGGCTGCTAGGATAGGCACTCAATAAATAATTAATAAATGATAGGGTGATAATCCCAGGGATCTCCAGGTGTGGCTGGGGGTTGGGTGGGGGAAATAGCTAGGGGTGGGTGTGGGACCTATGCAATGAGTCCTGAGGTTGAAAGTGCAGGCGGAGCTCGACTCCTCAGAAGACAGAGAGTCTAGGCCTCCCAAATATCGAGGGCTCTTTACTCTCCGGAACAGAATAAAGCGACACGGGAAAGGACAGCGCTCAACTTTGGCAGGGTCTGAGCACCAGGGTGAAAATGCAGCAGGACCTGTTGGGCAAGCGCGCTAGGGCCCCGCCCCGCGGCCTGGCCCGGCCCCTGCCCCGCCCCTTCCCCGCCCCCAGTCCAGGCCCCGCCCCCTCCGTCTCCCGTCGAGCCGAAGCTGGAGCCGCAAGTGGGCCCGGAGCCACCCCCGCAAAGGGCGCGCCCAGCACACTTATTCTGCCCCGGAGCAGCTCGGGTGCCCAGCCCTACGCAGACAACCGCTGCAGGATGCTGCGTTCCACGTCCACCGTCACCCTGCTCTCTGGCGGCGGCTCCAGAGCGCCCGGGACGCCCAGCAGGAGGGTGAGTAGCTGGGGAGGTGGCCCCGTGGTCTCATTCCCCTGCCACTTCTGTAGGTATCTGCGTTTGAGGTCGCGCGGGAGCCAGCCCTTGGCCTTGACACCCACCCCGGGCTCAACTTTCCCGTCAGTCCCAGCGCTGGTTATGACCTTCCCACTTGACGCCCAAGGGATGCCTCACCAGCTGGAAAAGAGGTCTTGGGAGACTTTCTGGAATTCCCAGAGTTTTCCTCTCCTTCCTGTCTCTTCTGTCAAGCCAAACTTATTGGTGGCACCAGTTTAAAAAAGCAAGGGAGACATTTCTGTAGTATCTCTACCCTGAGGCCCACAAGTAAGATGGTATTTTAAACCCAAACTTTTCCTTCTTCCATTGATTAGAAGTAAGTAGGTGTCACTTGTGTTCAGTGTGACAGAATAATACTGATTCTGGAAGTGGGTTTAACCAAAGTGGGTGCCTCTTTGCAAATCAGGGGTTAGCAGCTGGCTGCCCAGGAGCCCAGTTGTATGGGAGGTTAGTTTATGCAAGCCACTTTTTTCTTTCTAGCTTAAATACTAACACAGTGGCAGCAGAGGTGGTCCTTGGTCAACATCCTCAGGGAGGGTTTTATTTAGAAGCCTGTTTCTCTGCAATCTTTGTTATATCCTTTCCCACCTCTGTAGATGCTCTTTGAAGAATGGCTAGGCATATGCATCTTTCACATTCTGCATTTCTTCCAAAATCAGGATCTCAGAGCAAACTGTTAGAGGTTTGGTTTGTGGCTTATTCTTTCATCGTGATATTCATTGCTTATTACTTGACATCTCTTCACTGTGATTGAAACTTGCTGAATAATGTTTCCCCAAGTTTAGCTGAATGAGTGCTTAAGTCCAAACCAGAAGCCACTTTGGTACCTCTGTTTGCTAGTTTTGTAGACATGCTTATCTACTTTTATATACCTCAACCAATTGGTAGTGGTTATATCATCTTATGAGTTGTCTTTCATTAGCTGTAGAAGATGGGTGTGTGTTACAATTGGGTTGGGCCAAGTGATGGGTTTTGAGTGTGTGTGTGTGTGTGTGTGTGTGTGTGTTTATGTTTGTGTTCATATAGGTTGACAGAACTCTAGTTGTCCAATCATTAACTTCAAGAGTCATATTAGATCCTAAGGGGTTTCCAGCCACAGGCCTGGCCTTACTTCAAGGTGGATATTTGCCATATTTCTTTGGAACTATTTGTCAATTGGAAAAAAATTTTGATTGGGAGAGAATAGAAATCACTGAAAAGATACTCCTGAGCCCAGCTGAGGTCCATTTCCCCTCCAGAGATAGGGACTGGTTGGGGTAGCTAAAATGATATTGTAGGTAGATACATAAATGTGATTAGTTAGTATACCATATACCCAATGACATTTTTCTCCAATATTTTCTTTTGAGTATCTCTTTAGTTATAAGTGCTTTGTTATCTGGTACATTGTGAACATTTTTGAGAGTGCTTTGCCTTTTGAATAAGACTGTATAAGACTTTGGACTGGAGGTCCCAGGGATCTGAATCAGACCATGCAGGGCTATACTAGGCATCCTGGTACTTGTTTTGGAAAGAGGATATCAAAAAGTTCTAGTGTTCTCCATATCTTTATCATTTCCAACTCTGCTATTGGTTTTGAAAATATCACAGGTGCTGTGTTTGTGTGTGTGTGTGTGTAGGGGGGACTGTGGTACAGTGCTGGGCACTGGGGTCCATTCTACCTATGGAGGCAGACTTTGTCACAAACTGCTATCATGAAATTATCAAAGCATTAATTGTGTAGCGGGGTGAAGTATTTTCAAAGTTCTGTGAAGCTAAAAGGCATGGTTCTTCCTGAGGCACCTGAGGGAGGCCTCTTACTGCAGGTGATGTCTGAGTTTAGTCTTGCTGTGTGAGTAGGAATTTGTAGGGCAGCTGACAATATTGGGATACTGCATGGAGGAATGGTAGCATTTGTCTAAATGGAATATTTGACATATGGTGTACAACAGTGGCATATTGGACCTGCCTTGGGACAAAAACATTTATTTTTAATTTCTTTTTAGGAAAACAAAAACAGGATGTCTTGAAAATAAAATTGCAGGCTAAACAAATGATTATGAAAAGTATTTCCAAAGTTGAAAATTTTTGGTAAAGCCTATATCATTCTTTCATTTCACCCAATGGTACACAAGTGATGGTCTTTGGCAGGAACATATTAGCCATTAAAATAAATCTTCTGTTTCATCCAAAGAGCTTATGGAGTTAGTGTCTGTGGGGGAACCTGGCTATGTTGGTCCAGTCATTCCAGCCAACCGTGGTGACAGCTGACACTGAGCAGGAGTTCAGTTCTCTGAGTCAGCTGCCAGGGGCAGTGTGGGAGACCAGCCTGTCACCAGTTATCCTTTGTTCAGTGACTGCCACCTGCAATTGCACTTCCTTCCTAAGATCATCTCTCATGGGAGGCGGGGGGAAGGTGGGAAGACTAATTTCTGTTAGCTGATAAACAAAATCCTAAGAAGCATTTATGGATGCCAAACAACAGGAGTTGTGAAATAATAATAAAAAAAAAACCCTTCAAACCAGTTGTGCTCTAAAAATAGTTTTATCTATGGCAACAGCAGGGAGATAAATTGTTTGGAGAATAACCACAGCTAGAATGATGACCTTGGGGAGTGGGGGAAACATTTTTTAATATATTGACATTACTAAATGATTTTGAAAGGAATTTTGTAAATGAAAGTTAATCTTTCAAATGAAAGGTCAGTTGCGTGGCCAGGTTGTGGGCTTGGGGTGGAAAGTACTTGTTGTTTTATGTACCCCAGTACTTTTGGCTAAGCTTTTTGGCTAGGGTGGTGTGAGATGCTAGACCTGTCAAGGGTTTTATGTGGCACTGTGTTCTGTTGATAATAAGAGACTGTTGGCTGGTTTTGCTGGTATCATGGCTCTTCAATGGCACATACAATTCAAACCAAAACAAACCCCAACAAGGCCATAGGAGAGGATTGTTTCCTAGCCTGCCTTTGCCTTGGCAGAGGCTTCCTATGTTTAAAACCAGAATGGGCTGAGAGTCTTTGCTCCCTGGCTAATGCACTAGTCTGTAATGTCCCATTTCTGTTTAATAGCTCAAAATGAAGAATTCCCTTGGGCCAGACAGGTGTTACCTCACTTCTTTTTCCCAGTCCACAAAAACATCTGTGCATGTAAGCTCTGTATCCTTCTGAGGGCGCTGAGGAAGGAACACTGGATGTTGTGGAATCTCAGCAACTGGTGGAAGGAAGCTGTCTGCAGCATCCACAGGGAGAAGAGAGGTGGGTCCTGCTGTACAGAAAACCTGCTGGCTTCTCACCACAGTCCTTCTGAGCCAGCTCCTGACAGACCAAGTTGTGTAGTTTTGAAACCATAGATAGCGTCCTTAGGGATTATCCCCAAAGCCTTAGTCACTAAAAAAATGATAGTTGTATGTTCAGAAAAAAAAAAAAAAAAACCCAACCAACTTCTGTGCTTTCGTTTTTCCATCTTGCTGTGTTTAGTGTAGGATGAACAGATTTGAGATTCTCCTTTTTTTGGCGGGGTGGGGGGTACTAGGAATTGAATCAAGGACACTTATCACTGATCCTCCTGCCTCAACCTCCCAAGGCCCTGGGATTATCGGTGTGTGCCAGCCAGCATGCCAGGCCAGACTTGAAATTCTTAAGGAAACTTGATTTATAGAGATGCCACGGTTGCTCTGTAAAGATTATGGGGGATTCTGTAGTTTTGAAACCATAGATAGCATCCTTAGGGATGCTATCTCCAAAGCACTGCAGAAGGGTTGCATGTGAGGTCCCTGTTGTTTTTATAATGTGCATCCATATCTGAGCAGGGGACCTGGAGGCTGGTGGCACTACCATGCTTCTAGTCACTTGAGAAACTCTTTCAAGTCAGTAATCCCCAAGAATTGTTGTTCAATTGCATTCAAGGAGCTGCGGATCCAGGGCTGATTAGAGAAATGTATTGAAATGCTTCAACCCAAATACTTCCAGTGATTAACCACATTATGATCTTAAAATGATTGCAGTGCTTTTCCAACACAGAGTAGGCTACTATATCAGGGTTTACCCCTTTTCCCACTTCAGATGAGTGGTATTTCCTAAGTGTCAATCACACTGCTACTGACTTTTATTCATTCTTTATGGTTAGAGTAATCTTTCAAAAATTCATAATCCAGTCACCTGATTCCTCTGCTTCAAGAATCTCCTTGGTACTACCAGGAAAAAGTTCCAACTTCTTAGTGTAGCATCTGGGCCCTCCAACCTGGCCATTGGCTGTTTTTTCTATACCCCACATACTCTGCCCACAGAGTCCCAGGCATTCCAGATTAATTGTCATTCTCTGAGCTTCAGTGCTGTTCCTTGCCTCTTTGTTTTTCCTCATGCTTTCCTCTGATGACGATCGATCATCCTCTCCAGAAGTCTGCCCTGATTCTTCCTTCCCATGGCTTATGTACCTCGCCATTGCTTATTTCCCCTGTGGTTAACTACTTGAAGACAAGTCTTAGGGACCCTCCCTCCTCAGGCCTGATGGAATAAGTGCTTATATAGAGGAGTCCCCAGGGTCCTAAAGAAGCCACACTTAATGTCCAATTGGCAAACGGAAACACAGGAAGAGAAGCCTTGGGATAAAGCCAATCCACCTGGGCAGGAAACAGGTGACTGAGTGGATGGGAATGCTAGTCCAGGTGAAGATTTGACAGTTCTGGGAAAGCCTCCAAATATTCTAGTTGTTTCATCCTGTAGCACAGTTGGAGTTTCATTCTTTGGTTAAGTCAGTGGTTCTCAACCCTGGTTCTGTGTGGAATCACCAGGAAACTTAAGAGAGCTCTGTCCTGACCTCACCCTAAGCCAATTCAGGGGAACCTCTGAAAATAGAGAAGAACATTTGCATTTTTAAGGAGGTTTCCTTGAGTGCAGCTTAGGATAAGAATATTTCTATAAGAATCACTCCTCCCTGGAAGCTTTCCTGGTTCATTCTTGGGACAG